TGGGCCATGGGGTGGAGATATAGGAGAAGCCACACTATCTGGCCTTCTGGTTTTTGTTTGGAAGTCTTGGGGACTTCACATTTTTGTTTATGTACAAATAGTCAATCATCTCTGTTTTATGTTATTTCTCCTTGGTGGAACTTGAAGGTTTAATTTTACTGACATGAGAGACCATACATCTGGTCTTACTAGGTGTAGCATTCCCCCCAGTAAACAAAAACATGAAACCATGACTCCATTAATACCATTACCATTATTATATATGGTAGTCTTTTTTATTTCCTATGGAGCGCTCATGTACCTTCTGGAACACTTACTAATTGGCATTGCTACAATGTATGTGGATATAATTCCTGCTGTAATTTTGCAGAACCACAAAAAAAACCAAAAAAAAAACCTGTGGGGTTTAATAAATCAACGTGATCATATTTTGATTAGCAATTTGCTAAGCATTACTATAACACTGTTTTCTTCACCCTCGAATAATGGAGTTTTGTAAAGTGCAAGTATCTGAAAAGGACAAGCATTTCTTACCTTCCTAGATTTTCAACATGTGGACTAGCAAATTTCTGTGTTGAGCATCCAAGGAAAATTAAAGGAAAAGAAAAGAAAATACACAACACCACGCCAATGACACACATGGCACTACACTGCTTGAGGCTCAACTGGAACCTCTTCATGATAACACCACCCAAGATAACTCCAGCCATCGCTCCCGGAATGTTTACAGATCCTATGGGAAACAAAGTAACAAGATGCAAACATGTTATCAATAAACAATAATATACCAGCTACGAAAACGCAACTTACATTCAGGACACTTAATTACATTCATATGGCATTCGTGTTAAAATTAAAGCAATACAACTGTAAAAAAGTACAATAAAAGCTGCTAAATGCAACAAAAATATCTAGTTATGTTACCTGACACATTTCGAACTAATGTTGACTGTTGTGGTTGTATCTATAAAATGGTCAAAGTGAAATAACTATTGAATTAGTTAAATGATGGAATCTTTTTTTTCTTGTGAAAAATCTGATTATTTTTGGGATTAGTCATTTTTTTTTCAAACAAATCGCTAATATAGCAGTTAAATATTCTACTTAATGTGCCAGTTCAATCACATATTGGCTAAAAAGTGACAACAATAATGTCAGAATGTTGTATTTTTAAAAATAAATAAAAGATTCCAGTGTGTACTGTAGCCTCTTTGGGTACTATTTGTAATGCATGTTTATAAGTAATGCCCTCTTTTTATTCAACCTTACCCTTTGTCTCATGTTTAAAATATGATGTCACTATTCCTTTAACTAATATTGTATGAGTGTAGTAAATATCCCACAGAAGAAGGAAACCTACTAACATAGATGTGTTTTTATGAATTTCTCTAAAAGGCATAAATCAAAATTGACCAAATTTGTGTTGGGAATCGGTTTGTGAACAAAGATTGAAAGCATTTGGCTCTATCACTGAGTAAGTGCAAATAGTAACACTCATAAGCCACCAATATTTAGATCAATTTGCTGAGCATAGCTTAAAGGGTCGCTATAGTCACCAGGATTACTACAGCTTAACTAGAGCGTGCAACATTAATGTTCAGTGCATCCACACTCTGCATGGACATGCTCAACACTCTACGAGGAGATGCTAATTGGCGCAGAGTGGCGTTTTGTCACGCAGGCACAATACCCTCCCAATATTTTCTAAGGGAAAGCATTGGATTGGATGAGAAGGTCAGTTTTGATAATCTCAGTCAAGAAGGTGGAGCCAACTTTACCTAGACTGACGCACAGTGGAAAACGTTTAACCCCTTAAGGACCAAACTTCTGGAATAAAAGGGAATCATGACATGTCACACCTTTTACTCCCCTGTCTGGAAGGGAAGGGATCTAAACTATGTATTTACAGCTAAAGTGTCATTCATACACTTTGTGTATTCTTTAATTGTCTTTAAGTGTCCTTTAGTGTTCCTTTAAGCAGCATTTAGTGGTTGATTTAATAAAAGATGAACATCTCTATCATTCTCTATTGACAATTTTACATTTTTGGTTGAAATTAAGGTGTTGTTCCTCATTGCCTGATGAATTAACCTATTTTAGTTCAGAGCTTGTCTATTTCTTATTCTGAAGCACAGTTGATTAGAAAACAGCTTTGGATCAAATTCTCAGTTATGCTAGTTCAATCCCTTCTTTGTAAGACAACGTGCTGCTTGCTGACCGAGCAATTAAACGGTGAAATCCTTGGCCCAAACAACCCCTCTTTTATCTAAGAAACCTGATTCATTGGAAAAACTCAATTTAAATGTTTTTACAAGTATCACGTTCATTCTAGACAAAGGATATGTTTTTTTATAGAAACCAATAAAAGTAACGTGCCTTGAATCTCAATGTCTAGTAGCATAAATTGTGTATGTCGTCATCTAATACTTTCATCTTTTCAAATAATTGTATTTTAACTCTGTAGTTGCTGGGCTGGGACATTTCAAACATTTAATTCACCGCAGTAACTAGTTGTTCATACATTTAGATTCTTTGACCTTAGCACTGTAGAGAGTTACATTGTTAACCTTTTGAGGGTCCGAAATGGAAAGAGCATTGTAATGCAGCATGATGTATATGATGTGTATACTAAATCTCAAAGGGTTAATTCTAAAATGGTTTGCTAGCAGTAATTTCTGATATATTTATGTAGATTATTTTTACACACAGTACAGACAGACATATTTGATACTGATTTATCAGAGCACATTCCGAGGAATTTGACGTATTTTATATTCCTCCGATTCCTCCGATTTCCATAATGACAAATTCTTCTGAATTATTTTTCAACTCATTATCTAGAAAAGATTTAAGAGGTATTCTAGGGAACAGACAGAAGAAACGCTTAATAAAAGGTTTTACCTAGCATCAGATTGGCCAAGGAAGCGGTGATAGAGAATTGCCGTTCAAGGAATTTGGCCAGGAATGTTGCCAGGCTACATGCCACAAGTGATAGATTTGCCTGAGCCAAAACCACCAGCATGTAGACTGGATTCTTCACAGTCCTGAACAAAACTCTGGGAAACACTGGAAGAAAGAATTAGGAGACATTTTAACAAGCTGATGCATTTCTCATGTGGTACGTTGGACACAGTCTTTAGATCTCTAAGAGAGCCATTTAATTAACTGATACAACTTCTGCCAGTTCTACCGATACACTGTGGTACCCAAAGAGGAATCAGATTAAAATGTTATGTTACATTGCTTTGTGCCCAGATCAGTACATGCCCTGTGACTGGTCAAAAAGTACAATTATATCCATGGCAGGCTGTAACTATTAATAACATACTCTATGCAAGTTATTCAGGAGAATGGGACGGCACCCACAATCTCCAGGTAAGAATGAATATTAATTTATATCTACTAATGGTTTAACCTTGGGTAATATAAAATCCTTATTATATTCACTTCACATGTTTTCAGGAAGGCAGAGTCCTGTTTAGTGTACTTACTGTTGTGCAGCGTACATGCATTGTGTTGTGTAGCATTCGCACATGGTGTTATATAGTGCATGAAGTAAGATTGCTCGGAATCGTGTGTGCATGGTCTTTTACAGTTTGTGTGTGTTGTGCTGTGAATTGTGCTGTGAATTGTACATGCTGTTGTGTAGCAATCGCACACTGTGTTATGTGAATTGTGTAGTATGCATGCAGGATGCAGTGTAGTGTGTGGTAGTGTGTATGGAACTGTGTATTGTACATGCTTGTTTTTGTGTAGTGTATATGTGTGGTGTTGTGTATTGTACATGCTTGTTTTTGTGTAGTGTACATGTGTGGTGTTGTGTATTGTACATGCTTGTTTTTGTGTAGTGTGCATGTGTGGTGTTGTGTATTGTACATGCTTGTTTTTGTGTAGTGTGCATGTGTGGTGTTGTGTATTGTGCATTAATGATTTTGTATGGAGAGCTTGCATGGTACTGAATAGATGTTAGCCTGGATATGCCCATTATTTATCCATGTCCTACCCACTTCCTATCAATACCCCACACCATAAAAGAGGTTATTGGGTAAGGCTGAACAATGCATTCTAGGAAAGTTTGGGTAGCTCTGTCTAGGATACAAGTTCAGCCATTTACTACAATGACAGTACATAAGCAAACACAACTGATTGATTGCCAATATGCGTTTCAAGATAGGATAAGTAGAAAGTATGACAATTACCGAATGTTTGAAAATTACGCTTTTGCCCCAGGCTCCTCCTACTGTATATTTATTGGAACAGAGTAAGCATCATTGAGCAAGATGCCTAACACAATATCGCTGCCTACTTCAAGTCCGCATAGATTGGAAGCTTGTAAGACTTCTGTTGTCAAATACGCCTGTTCTAGAATTCATAAGATGTTAAGCACTACTTACTAACTCGTTTCTATGATAGATATACGTTTGTCACTATCTTGACTAAATTAAAACCTGCTTCATCTAGGTGTAAAGAGAAAAAGTCAAGTTAACAGCTGTACATTCCACGTGCATTGTATAGAAAAAGGTACACCCAGTATACATCTTTTTGGAGATATACATCAACCTTCATTTGCAAATACTGCTCATATCTCATGTCTTGCTATGGCCAATCACAGGTGAAGTGCACAAGTACAGTGTGAACCATTTCTGTCATTCAGGTGTGGTTGCTATGGTGATGATTAAGCACCTTCTAAGGCTTTACGTTCAAGTCACAGATACGTGCACATTAAGATAGGACTTTTTGAAGGGAAGGATGTTTGTAGCTGGAAGACCCTGAGCATCGACCTAGAGACTGGGAATGGAAATTAGACAGTAGACAAATATCTTCCGGGTATTTAGTTTTAACAAAAGCTTATGGATAATATTCGATGACAACAATGGAAACAAGCCTGTGGTGTAAACGATCACTGTCTAACATGTAAACCAGATATATTGGAGACGTTAATGTTTTCAGTAGCCATGGATTAGCAGCCGTTAAAAGTTATGTTCTGTAGCATGGGGAAATCTGAGAATCTCTACTGAAGCCGAAGGGCATGTTAACGATTATGGAAATGATTACGATGAACATGGAAATGAGCCCCTTGTGTTTAACTGAAGATTAAAAATGCAGAATACGTGATGGTAACAAGAGATATAATAGATTTTAAGCTGTGACTTTCCCCTCGTCCTGTTATTGTGATTACAGCTAGAAAAATAACCCTAACAATTGTTCATCTCAGGAAGGAAATTTATAAGTAAAATGAATTAAAAAGATATATTTTTTGGTTGTTCATGTCAGGATGAAACGGAATTGATACAGTGCTCACTTTATATAACGACAACTTATTTTGCAACGCTACTACTTTATTACTTATTTACGTATGTTGTTTTACTCAACTTGATAAATTAGATTGTCATTAAAAAGCACACGGTTAGTAAAGAGGAACGGGCTACCTCGGAAGCATTTTGTATCACACAAAGAAAAAAAAAGACAACTAAGATAACTAATTTAAGAAAAAAGTTATCAGTCTTCATTATTTGGTTTTAATACATTTACTGGAGAGTAGGTCCCATTACTGGGAATGACTGAGACAATGCAGGAACTCTGATTGTTTGTCGTATTCGAAGTAAAGTTCATTTTATGTTAGTTGTTGGTGTAGTTGGTGAGTTCAAGCAATGGAAAAAAAAAGGATGGAAATGAAAATGTGTTTTTTTAATCTATCCTCTGACCTGCGAGATGCATCTTCACACCTCAATCTTAGTGGAAACATGCTGAGGACTGTATTGGAAAAAGATGCTATCAACAGTAAAATATTGTGCCAGGAGCTGTGAAAATCAAAGGCTGCTTACACTTCTCACCACAATTTAATACAAAAAGAACTCTATCCTAAGTGTGTCAATCATTGAGCTTAGAATTGTAATCCATGTTGCTTAAATAGTTGATAAAAGCCAAATTTAATAATTCGGCCTTCACTAAATACGAATTAATTAAAAACTCAACTGTTATCTCTGTATTTACATGTATTATTTTTTATGAAAGCTAAATGCATGCAGCTTGATTTTACTGTTTATAATATATACATATGGGATACTAATACTTTTTGATACCTTGAGTCATCTAAATGCAAATATAAAAGGTTGGACGAGGAATGAGAGATATGTTTTTGTGATGGACTTCAGGATCCATGTAAAGTTATTCAAAGTGAAAGAAAGACCTTTACAAAATCTATCTGTCCTCTCCTGATCACTCACCTCTTCTCTTGTCGTGTGTTTCTGACTGCCACTCTGTTATTTCCAACTGGATGGCTGCTCACTTCCTTAATTTAAAACTGTCCAAAACATAACTTCTGGTCTTTCTTCCAAGTTAAGTGCGCTACCATCAGCTCCACCTCACAGACTTACTGCCTAGGTGTTCTCTTTTACTCTGACCGCTCCTTCACCCCTGGTTTCCAATCGATGGCCAAATCCTGCTACATCCATCTCAAAAACATAATGCATATCGGCACCTACTTAAAGCCTGATATGGATCCATGACGCTGTCCTCTGTAACCTTGTCTACTGCAATCCACTTCTCAGTAGTCTTACTTTTTGCCAATTTCCCCATTACAGTCCATAATGAATGCAGCGGCAAGACTCATCTTCCTGTCCGCCTGCACCTCCCATGCCTCCCCCTTCTGTCATTGGCTTTCTGTAAGATATAGGGCCCATTTTAAGATACTTGTACTTGCTTTTACAAATCTCTATATAATGCACCCACAAGCACGAGTCCAGGTAAACAGCACTTTCTCAGATGCAGTACACATTAAGAACGGCACTAGACAGGGCTACACACTCTCACCCCTAATTTTCATCCTTACCTTGGAACCCTTCCTTAATGCAATTAGGCCAAATCAACTAATCATGGGAGTCCAGGGCACCTCGGCATACTATAAAGTCTCCTGTTCACTATCACCAACCGTGGCGTATCCCTGCAACATTTACTCTCAGAACTTACCCCACATTTCTCCCTGTCCACTCTTAAAGTCAACTACAACAAGAGTGAGATAATTCCCCTCTCTATTTGGACAACTATGTTTAATAAGCTAAAATCAGTATACCCCTTCAAATTTACCAACTTACACATTAAATATTTGGGTATTAACGGCACCTACTATCTGAAGGATCTTTTTAAAAACAACTGCACGCCTTTGCTACAGTCACTCACGAATGACAACAATGGAATGGAACAAGCCTCATTTTTTGTGGATGGGTAGTGTAAATATACTTAAAATGAATGCTCTCCCAAGCCTACTTTACATATACCATCTCTTCCCATATCAGTTCCACCCGCACTCTTTGCCTCGATAAAGAGACTTTTCACAGAATTTATATTGTTTGGCAGGAGGCCAAGATTGGCATTCTATATAATAACACACCCAAAACTGAGAGGGGGGGTTTGGGACTGCCCGACCCTTTTCACTACTACCTAGCCACCCAACTCACTAGGATCATGGCGTGGTGCCATGTGGACAATCAAGCACATTGGAAAGACCTAGAACAGAGTTGTATTGGACTCCCATTAGCCACGCTCTCATGGCAGGTTGCCCCTGTCTCCACGCTATGCCCGACTCTCCACCCACCAATAGCCCACTACTATACATTTGGAGGAAATTTGCTAGGAAATTCAAGTTAGCAAACTCCCCATCTCCACTGCTCCCTGTATCCTTCAACCCAGCCTTTCCATCAGGGATGTCGAGAATCAGTTGGCCTTCCTTTATTTACTACTCTATCCTAATTCTCCTTGACCTGTCTGCGGCTTTTGACACTGTTGATCATCAACAGCTTCTTCTCATCCTCCGCAATATTGTTCTACAAGATACTGCTCTCTCATGGTGCTCCTCCTACCTCTCCCAGCGCTCTTTCAGTGTTTCTTTCTCTGGCTCTGCTTCTTCTCCCCAACTCCTCTCTGTTGGTGTCCCCCAAGATTTAGTCCTTGGTCACCTATACTGCCTCCCTTGGTAAACTCATTAGCTACTTTGGCTTCCAATATCATTTCTATGCAGATGACACGCAAATCTACCTGTCCTCTCCTGTTCTCTCCCCGTTCCTCTTGACTAGTGACTCTGACTGCCTTTCTGCTGTTTCTAACTGGATGGCTGCCCACTTCCTTAAACTAAACTTGACCAAAACTGAAATTCTGGTCTTTCCTCCCTCAAGTGTTGTTACTCCTTTCTCTGTCTCCCTCCAAGTCAACGGTGCTACCATCAGCTCCACCACGCAGGCTCGCTGCCTAAGTGTTCTCTTTGACTCCGACCTCTCCTTCAAGCCTCATGTTCCATCTATTGCCAAAACCTGTCATTTACATCTCAAAAACTTTAAGCGCATCCGCCCCTACTTAACGCCAGATGTGATTAAGGTG